AGTGTCTGGCACATCTGAAGGTGCAGCTCCACAGGCCTGGGGATCCGTGAGAATTTAGGCAGGCTGGCTTCTAGTATCCACTAGGCTGTGTATTTTGTATTCTAAAACTTGAGTTCACCCCTTGGCTTCATTGTATTGCCTTTGTGCTAATATATAAAGACCAGTTCTTCCCTCAGTAGGAAGTTGCTCTGGTCCCTCCATGGCTGATGCACAGTGCAGAGAACAAGGCCATCACAAACCTAATCACCTTAAGTGTGACGTTCCCCCTTTTCTACAGAACAGGCACCACAAGGGCGGCAGCAGTGCCAGCATGTTCCTTTTACACCACTCTCCAAATATGCTTCAGCTTGGACCTAGAGGGAGCACCACTTTAGCCAGGTGTTTACTGGGGTAGGGGTGTGAACTAAAGCATATTGGCATATTTAAAAACACCATTTTTCCTAGTTAAGATGAGTCCTTAGAGTGAGAAGGTAACTAAGTCTCCAGGGCTAATTCTTTGGTTCCTCTGCTGAGACTGTGCCAGCATAATGGCGTATGGGACTTGCTGTCCACTAAGAACTGATCTCATCAAGTCACTTCAGAGGTTACCAAATACCATCACAGTGGTAACTGTTGATCCCCTTTGGGACCAGTGGCCTACAGGTACAGTTGCCATTAGAAGGTCTTGCATGTTTTTTAGTGCAAACAACAAAACAAATGTCACTTTGATGGAGAGTCTCTTTTTCTCCATATGATGAGGCTTGAAAAAGATTCTTGAACTGCATCTTCAGATAAGTGCTGTCTGTCTACTCCAGGTTCTGGGCAGGCCGGGCTTCAGCATTGCTGACAAGAAACGCAAAACTGGCTCCATTGGAGCCAAGCACAGAATTGGGAAGGAGGAGGCCATGCGTTGGTTCCAGCAGAAGGTAAGCTCCAACCCCATTTTCATGTCCGTCAGGCTATTCAGCGGCCTAGTGAGAGACCTCAAATACAGCCTGCTCGCTCTTGCTGATCCAATCTGTGACACGCTCGCTGAGCTGTGATGTGAGCATCTCATTAGCATGGGATTTGGAAGAGAGCAGAAGCATCTCTGAAGTGAAGGGTTTTCACTCTTAGCTTTCCTCCTTTTGTGGTGGAAACCTGAAGCATTAAGAACTGCGCCTGGACTGCAAGAAAGCTCCTCCTAAACAAATCTGCTTATAAAGCATTTAAGCAGGGGCTCGTCCTTGGTGCAGGTTTCACAGCAGTGTGGTGAATTCCAGAAGTAGAATACTGTTCTACTAGTCCCTGTTCCCTAAGATGTTTTGCTATCTCCACAATCTGGGTGTGTGGTGGGGGGAGAAGGGGGACGGCAGCAGCAGAGCACCAAGATCCCCAGGTAGACAACTACAAATCTGACCCTGGGGATTGAAAATCTGCAGCAGTAGACACAGTCAAAGGAAACAGCAAATTAGATGGGCTGCGGTTGGGTCAGTCCCAATACCCCGATTCCCGTGGACTGCTGGTCCCACTTCCCAGGCTCTTACCGTATCAGAGGAGCAACTTCTGTGACTGCTGCTGCGAAAGACATATGTATACAAGGCTGGTGAGGAGGTGCGTTGTGCAGTGAATAGGATCTGTCCTGCTGGCTGGTCTGTGTATAGTAGAGTAATGCCGTTCACTTCTTTTTTAATTGTTTAAAACAAATTCTGCAAAATGGGGTTCGAAGTTCAATTTCTCGCTTGCATTTCTGTGGTTGGGATAGGCCCCATGGCATGTAGACTCTGTTCCACATGTTGGGTGGCCTAGGCCGAAAGTTATTGACCCCTGACCCCTAGTTCCAGGGACTAGGCCCAAGGATTCATGTAATAGATGTGACCTGCAAAGGGGAAAACTGCTTGGTTTTTTTTACTTGAGAAGTGTGCTGCCTTTTTACGTGAGCAGTGTTGGGTCTTCCCTGTCCTTCCTGAGGGAGTAGAACTGTTACGCTTGATGTCTCCAATTGAGCAGGCAGGATTTCTAGTCGCTGTCTAAATATTGTGGGCTTTGTTAGTAACTCCTGGCAAACGCTTGTGAGCAAAGCTTCATAGGAGTTTCAACGTTCCATTGAGGCGTGAACTCTAGCAAACCCAGGAAATCTAGACAGGATACTTGTAAAGCAGCCTAAAGGCCTCTCAAGAGAAACCTCTTGTGCCGTCTTTATCCACCATAAAGAGGCAGAAAGGCTTCCAAATCCAGTTCTGTCGTTGTGCAGGTCACCTTTAACTTCAAACTTCACTGCAGTGTGACCCCATTCTGACAACCAAAATGACTACACAATCCCAGGAGCGGGGACTGAAGCCTGAGCCTGCCCGGGAGGGAGGGGGCAAAGTCCAAGCCCCACTGCCCTGTGCAAGGGGACCAAAACTGAAGCCCAAGATCTTCAGCCCCAGGCAGAGTGCCTGTAACCTGAGCCCCGCCACCCAGGACTGAAGCCCTTGGGCCACAGCAACTCTAAGCCAGCCCTGGGGACCCCATTAAAATGAGGTCATGACCCACTTTGGGGTCATGACCCACAGTTTGAGAACTGCTGTCCTACAACATGCTGTCCTCTAATGGATTCAGTCTCACTGAGCTGTGGGCAAACAAGACCGCCTACCTTGTTTACAAACTATTGGGCATGTTTTGAATGTCTTTGACCCGAAGCATCTAGACCATGGTAGAAGCAAGTTCAGCTATTCAGCAGAGTTGTACTTTAAAGACTGCCTGTAAGCCGTGGGCAGACTCACAGGCCAGGACTGTCTAAATGAAACCTCAACACTAGAATTCACTTCCATGTCCATTTTCTCACGACAGGTTTATTAATGAACAAGATGCAGAAAGGTTCAATAATGTGACATATTTGGTAATGGAGACCTTTCTGCAGCTGGAAAGGGGAAGAACAAACCTCCTTTCACCATCATGTAGGTCTCATTAGCCCTTTTCTAGCTGCTCTGGAGAGACCCATTCCTGAGTTTCCCTGACCCCTGGAAGATCTTCTGTGTACTGCCCCTGTTAAGAGGCATGTGGCCTTCTCTGGCTACCTGTAAGGCCACATGCTTGCCCATTTCTGAGCATGTCTCCTGTGACTACAGCTTCCAGTTACAAGAGCTGTAACATGCACACTGGGATGCTCACATGTGCCCCAAAGCCCAGTGACCTGTTATGAACCCAGTCAGATTAAATCTTTTTCTCAGCGAGGAGAGGGGACTTCCTCACCTAATTAACACTTCATATTATTGAAATTGAATCCCCCTTCTTACCAGATCCTGAGCTCTTCGCTTGGGCAAAACCGCCTTCCATTGAAATTTATAGTAATTTTGTGGAAGTAAGCATTTGCAGGATCAGCCTCCTACAACGTTCCTGCTGCTAAAGTGAAGGTGCAAAGAGTAAGTCCTTCAGAGAGACTAGTTTTCACTTGTTCAGAGATTGTTTTACTTCCTGGTTTGCTCTGCTGCCAAGTCTGGCTTGCAAACAGAATTCTAGGCAGTCCAGTTTTTTTAAAGCCTTTCATTGGAAATGCATTCCTGGGAATAGCTTTTTGTGCACTTAGCTTTTGTAAAAAGCTTCATTTTAACAACCTAAGTCTTTTGGGTCAAACTGATCTGACAGATCACTATTAAAGGAACACTAAAAACCAGAAAATAGGATGGAAAGTCAGTTTCCATTTTCACTTTGCAGACTGTAAATTTGGATGATTGGAGTCTTACTCTAAGTCACACCTGTGACCTGAAATAAGTGGTGACTCCAGTCTCCTCCTTGGCACAACCACAGCTCTGACTGGCCCTGATTTCTGACACTCCCTTTTATCTCTCTTGCAGTACGATGGCATCATCCTTCCTGGCAAATGAGCAGTTCCAGTTACCAAAAATGCTAATAAAATTTTCTAACATTTAACTTGTTGTGCATTTTGTGGCTGGCTCCTCGCCCCTCCTCACCATAAGCTGCTGGAACTTGAAGCCGATCAAACTGGAGAGGAGAGCAGACCCCCCACGGGTGCGGATGCATTGTGCAGCAGAGATGGCCAGTCAGTGCTGTGCTCGTGGAATGGGAGTTCCTGTCCATAAGGAGCAGATGGTAGAACCACGGTGTGAATGAAGAGAACTCCCCTCCATTTCTGTGCTGGCCAAGAGGGGAAGCTACGGATAAAATTTAAAACCTAGTTCGATGGGCAACTAGACAATGTGAAAGTAGAACTAGAGCAAGATTTGTGAAGCATTTAGGGACTGAGCTATAGCTCCAAGTAGGGACAAAATAAAATCTAACCTACATGATCTGATTCCAAAAGACCTCCTAGCATGTGCTGTTGAGGTTAGTGCCACTTGGGACTCTCGACCACTGGATGAAACCATGAATAGTTTCTCTGCTCATGGACCAAAACGTCCATTTCAATACAAAGGCAATGGGGAGACCAAATGAGACGTGGTGGATTTGCCTCTGTCCAAAGTGGCAAGAACGCAAGTGGTAGGGACTAAAGGTGGCTGAGGCTTGGGGACTAAACAACCATAATATATTCTTAACTGGGACTCTGCTTAGAGGAGCTAGTACATCCCCTATCAAGTGCTTATAAGCCCCACAAAAGGGGTGGCTAAGAGCTTGCTCTCTGGAGCTGTTTGCTAACTTGTGCACTGAGTCGAGAACCAGCATCCGATGCTGTTAGTTACCACCAGAGGGTGCTGAAGACCCAGACAGCAATAGCTGGAGCTTATTTCAGCTGGTCTGAGAATCCAGCATCCCTCACCTGGTGCACAGCTGCTGGAATAGAATCGAGGGGTTCTGCCTGGTACTTGTGCACCAGGCAACCTGTTTTTGGTATTCTGACAGGCCCCAGATAAAATGTTCTATATGCTTGGCAAGAGAGCGATTACTCTTATATGGGCTTTAAAATGTACAAATATTTAGGAGGAAAGAATCCTCAGTGTCTCAAATGGGTGTTTTGGCCAGTTTTTTTTTTTTTCTTCTCTCCCGTGTACTGGGAATATAACAGCCTCTCAGTACAGTAATGCATGTACCAGACAAGTTACTCCTTGAGGTGTTAATCTTTTATTCTATTTCATAGATACCGTTCTCTTCAAGACAATGCAGTTCAGACAGGTAGAGTCAAACACTCCCTGATGCCTATTTGCAGCTTCTCTGTACCCATAACAAATTCTTTCCCAGCTCTAGTGCCCCCGAAACAGTGAATAGCTCACAAATGAGGCAAACGCTTGACTCGGACTCCCGGGCACGACTTGCTCTGTACTACTGGTAACTAATACATTGGCCCGATGCTTATCAAATACATTGGCTTGACGCCCATCAGATCCTTTGGAAGATTGTCTTTCTACGTACCATGGAAAGCATTGTCGTCAGTGTTCTAACTAGTGAACTGAGCCAATGTTGGCAGCAACAGAGTTGTGAAAGGAAAAATGTGGAGTGGCTTGTTTGGTTGATAGAGAAACAAACGTATGGTAAGTGGTTTAGCTGTTCTTCAACGGAAGTTACGTCTCTGGCGCTTCCACTATCCTTAAATAGGTTTATGCTTGTTAGAGTGAACTCTACCTGAAATAATCAATTCTTATTGGCAATCAATGCATTTCTTAACTGAAGTGTAAATTCCACTGAAAACCCATCAGAGGCACCCGCACCATCTGGCAGCTAGAGTTGAAAAAACAACCAAGGACAGTTAAATTTACTATTCTGCGTGTCTATCTTGGCTGTCCCTTCCCTGACCCACACTTCCCTCTGTGTCATTTAATACAGCAGCACTCCCTTAAAGGGCTGGCCAGGGTTTAGGAGTGTAATGTGGTTCATTAAACGTGGTTTCAGCCTGCCTGAACAAACAAGACCAAACTTAGAATGGCTGGCGCAGAGCCGTTTGCTGGCTGCCCCATGGGTTGTATGGTTGTATAGACAGGACCCAAGATTCAAGGCTAGTCTACACTGAAAACTTACATCAGCATGTGTGTGTCTCAAGGGTGTGAAAAATCTACACCCCAAGAGACAGTGAAGCTGACCTAACCCTTGGTGTAGACAGTGCTAGGTTGATAGAAGAATTCTTCTGTCGACCTAGCTACTGCCTCGCAGGGAGGTGGATTAACTACAGTGATGGGAGAAGTCACTGTAGCAAGTGTCTACACTGAAGCACTGCAGCTGTTCTGCTGTACCATTTTAAGTAGAGACATGGGGCTTGTCTACAGTAGAAATGCTACAGTGGCACAGCAGCAGTGCTTCAGTGTAGACGCAACCTAGGCCGATGGGACATTCTCTGTCGGCGGAAGTAATCCACTTCCCTGAGAGGCAGTAGCTAAGTCTACAGGATGATCCACGTCCTAGACCGGGACCAGGAAATAGGCATCAATCTCGTCTCAGTGTTGCTGCACGTCACACCTTAATTACTGTTCCAGTGCTCCACTTGCACTACTCCAAGTGCTACTTAATAGAAGGAGGGTGGAAAGTTGCCTCTCTCTCCAGCTTACAGCTCTTCTAATTGCATTGCAGCTCTCTGGTAGGCAGCATGGCTTAATGGACTATGGGGCTATTACAGTTCTAGTAGGGGGTGAATTCTGTGCTTTTAACTGAAATGTGACAACTCGACCAAGGAGTTAGCACAGTACAGCCCTTTAAACCACACCCTGCCCCCTCATTCCCAAACACCTTCACAATATACAGACCCTCTCATCCAACAATGCAAACTTCTCGTCCATTAAAATTCTCCCCCCCCCCCCCCGTGCCATTGTCCTACCCAAATGTTTCTTCCTTTTGATTTCTAAGAATTTTCCATAGTCCAGGTTCTCTGGTGTTGTGTTAACAATGGGAGCAGTGGCTGAGGCCGGGTGTAGGTTGCTAGGTCGAGGGTAAGCAACCCTTGACGGCTGCCTGTGACTATAACTCGCCGTGTGTGTGAGGAGGGAAAGGGTTTGTATCCCTGTAATTACAGGTCTGTTTACATCTATTCTAATTGTCTGGTGCCCTAGCAACTCACTTCCCTTGCCACTATTAAAATAAATACATTTTCTCAGATTTAACAGGTACATGTCAAGGGTCACAGTGTTCTTTCTTAGGCTTATTTATTTCTTCTAGCTAACGTAGAAGGGTGTAACTACTGTAATTTTTATGAGTGTCTCATCATTTTTACGCTTCTCTGCTCTCTGAGCTCTGGTCCCTGTAATAGGATCTCTCTGTAAGTGACTCCAGTTTATTTGTATGTTTTCTTTTGTTGTTTGTTTTTCTTTTAGCCAGCTCTGGTACAGTCTATACTGCAACCAGATTGGTGATCAAAATCCTCCTTTCCTTCCTGGATGCTTCAGTGCCTCATGCCCTGCTTAGCAGCTGTGGTTTGGAGTTAAAGTTACGGGCGTTCATAGGCACCTTGACACACAGCCTGAAATGCAGACAGTCCATCAAATGCTTCCCTAGAGCTCAAAACTTGCCTTGATAGAACAAGGAGATTTGAGGAGACCGTGGAATGCCTCCAAACTGAAATGACAGAGTTGGTGCAGTGGCATTCTAACCTTAACTCTGACCCTGACAAAGCAAAAAAAAAAAAACCCAACTCCTAAAAATGACAGGTTGAAAGAAGGGGAGGAAACCCTATTTACCTTTTAGCTGTGTTAGGGGGTGACATGAGTTGCAGGGTTGATTGCTGGGAGGAGGGGATGGCAATTTGCATTTCTATGGCATCTTCCAGCTGAAGATCTCCAACTGCTTTCTGGGGGAGGGTCATTCTTCCCACGATCCCCCTTTTACGGAAGGGGAAACAGGAGGAGGAGAGTGAAGTGACTGGCCCAAAGTCACTCACTGAGTCCCAACAGCAGTTACATTTCCTGACTGCCAACTGTAACCACGGAACCACTTTGTCTCCTTGTTACATCCTGCAGCATGAAGGAATTAAGCCATTGTCTGCAGCTAAAAAGTGCCTTGTTCAGGGGTCTCACGTCAATCTGAAATGCCGCTACCTAAAGAATTAGGTGTCTTCCCTTATTCATAATGTTGGGAATAAATTTGGTTAAACAATGACCAGATTTGGGAAACTTCTCTTCTGACATCAGACTGGCTACAATGAGCCAGACCATGTTCCGGGGAAACCTGAAGCTCTAGTTGAAGCCGGTGAGGGGCGGCGGGGCTTTGCCTGCCCTGTGTTGAGTCACATATTCTGATCATTACCTGATACCGTCAGCAGGATCTGGATGTGCTGTGACCCATTGTCAGATCTCACTGACTTCCCTGGTTAGATGGGAGACAAGACCAGGGCGAGAATGGAAAGAATCTGGCGACCCTGGCCGTATGCATAGGGACTCTATTGTTCTCTCTCTATTGTCTTGCTAGGGCTTGGCTTGCTTGAGGGGGGTGGGGTTGGTTGTGATTGGGTTGATCTGCAGTCCATAGTGGGGAGGTGTGTGACAGAGGATGGAGCCTACCCATGTCACTGAAAGGAATATGGGCTTTTCTGGCCACACTGGGATGTTCCATATGCCATCCACCCTGCCCTGTGGTGCAGGAGAAAACCCTGCAGTGGCTTCACGGACCAGTCCATCGCAGGAGGCCAACGTCTAGCTGGGTAACACGGGGGTTAGACGTTAAGGTTGCTTTGCCAGTGGTGGCCGCAGCTCTCGGCCTCCTAATTGGTCAGATAAGGACCCACCCCCACCAGCCACACATCATTCCCCACCTGACTGCAGTGCAGGTGGGCTGGAGAAGAGATGGGAGGCCTCTGACTTGAGGAGGGAGGGGATCAGACCTAGAGATGAGCAGAGACCATGCTAAAGCTGAGCATGTCCATAGGGCTTCTTAGCTTTGAAGTGCTTCCTCCCAGTGGCGGTCAGTGTCATTTTACCCATGGTATAGGGGGGCTAGTGACCTGCCTAAGGCCATAGAGGGCTTTCGTTTCACAGCTGGAATAAGAATCCAGGCGTTTCTAGCTCCCAGGGCCCTGTGCTAACCATTAGATTGTGTGTCAAAGATCGCCAAACACTGCTCTAACCGCTAGATCGTGCTGCTCCACACGCTCTCCTACCGCTGTGAAACGAGCCATTGCTTAGTTCCCAGCTCTCGGTGCTTTCTGATCTCAGCTCCCCTGCAATCTGAGGCAAGGTTTGAGCTCTGTCTGCGTCCCCAGCTGCAGGCGGAAATGCTAGCCCCCGGCTCCTCCATTAGATGCTGACCGCTGCCGATGCCGCTGAGCTAGTCCTGGATCCCTTGCTGCCGTGGTGCGGGAGGGTGATGGTGCAGCAGGACACACCCACGGTGGCCTCGGGGAGATCCTCCTCCTCTGCCCATTCGTTCATCTCCGGGTTGTAGCTCTGCACACACTTCTGGTATTTCTTCCCACTCTCATTCCAGCCTCCCACTAGGCAGATGCGCCCGTCGAGGATCGTTACCCCGGCCGTGCTGACCCCAGTGGGCACGGGCGCCACATAGCTCCACTGGCCTGTGTCAGGATTGTAGCACTCCACGGGGATCACATCCACCCGCTCACCTCGGGGGCCCAGCTGGCTGCCCCCTAGGACGTACGCACGATCAGCCCAGGTGGCAGTGCAGTGCCAGCCCCGGGGGGTGCTGAGCCCAGCCCGGTCTCTCCAGGTGTCTGTGCTGGGCTCGTAGCTGCACACGGTGCGCGAGTAACAGTTGTTGACGTAGCCCCCGGTGACTAGGATCTTGCCGTCAATGACCGTGCTGGCGTGGCAGCAGCGAGGGATCTCCATGCTGGCCTTGCTCTGCCAGCTGTTGGTGGAAGGGATGTAGCAGTCGATGGAGGCCAGGACCCCCTCGGCGTTGCGCCCGCCGATGGCGTAGAGGAGACCATTGTAGGCGCTCAGACTGAAGTGAGTCCTCTTGTGCAGCATGCTGGCCAAATGCAGCCAGGCGTTGAAGCGAGCATCATACCTGCGGAGAGAAGGAAGAGCTGTCACCTAGCCTCTGATCCCATGCTGCGGAGGGCTGCTCTGAACCTGCCCTGGGGACATATGATCTCTCCCGTCTACCCCTGCTTGACAACGACAAGTTACTGATCTTCCTGCATCTCTCAAGCCACAGATCCTACATCACATCCCCCTCGGGCCCCTGCAGCGCAAAGCTGAGCACATGCTGCAAGGCAAACGGCTGCCGTGCGACCCTGAGCCCCCGCTGGCAGATGGCATTGCTGTTACTGTACCCGGAAAGCAATCCCGGGGCAGTCTGGCAATGCCAGAAATGCTGAATAAGATACAGGCTAGAAATAGAAAGGAGGAGACCTGACGGGTAGAATCCTGAGGCCTTTCTCAGCTGCAGGAAAAATACATGGTGCGGGGCCGTCCCCTGTTTTATTGACTTTTGAATGAATTCAGTGGTCGTGAATGGCCTGGGCCAGGCAGGCTCTGAACATGCTGCTTGCCCTGCAGTGTATCCCCTGTGTATTCCTGACCTAGGCTAGCCTGCCCTCCCAATCCTGAGCCCCAAAAGCTTCTAGCACTGTATCTTTACCTATAAGAAGCCCTTCCAAGCCAATCCTTAAACCTATTCTATTCTAGAGGGGTGGTTCTGTCCTCATCCCTGTAGTATTTGAAAGCCTGCTAGTAGTGCATGAAGACACGATTGACATCTGTCCCGTGAGGGGGTTCTTTCTCACATTCTCTCCCTGGCAGAGGCTAGTAACTGGTCCGAACTCTGTGATGGTTTGGTGATCTGGGGACAGTGTCTCAGAGGGATTAGACTGAGACTAATAAACTCCTGTCAGGAAGGCAAACTTGAACACAGATTTCTGGGAGGCAAAATGCTATTAACTGTGCTGGTTTTCCTTCGTAGCATCCACGTTCTTTATTCGGAATCGCTGGGTGCAAGCCCAACCCCAACTGTGTGTCTGGATTTTCAACAACATTCTCCACTTGGTGTTGCCAGGGTTACATTTCTCCTCTGTTAACAATAATCCCCGCACAGTCCAATGACATGTTTCATAAGAACTTTCCAGAAACCCAAACCCTCCACTTAAGCTATGCAACAAAGAAGAAAGAAAGAAGACAAACAATAGAAATTATACAGAGGGTGAATTTAGGGTTTTTTTAAGCTAATTCTGCCAAACTCGGAATCAGCTAAAGAATGGAAACTGATAATTTATATAGAGATTTGAGCAATCTCTAGCCAGAATAGAAAAGATAACCTTGAAGGGCCACAAAAAGGCAGAGAAATTACATGAAAGCTGCTCTTGCTTTCTGGACCTGTATCATTAACTGTCTGACTAAATAACAGATGTTCTTATTATTTATTTGAATTATGGTAGAGCCTGGAGGCTTCAGCTGAGATCAGGGCCCCAGTTGTGCTAGGAGCTGTACATACCCATAGTAAGAGACGTTCCCTGCACCACAGAGCTTACAATCTAAATAGATAAGACAGACAAAGGGTGGGAGGAAAAACAGAGGCAATGTGACTCGGCCAAGTCACACTGCAGATCAATGGCAGAGCTGGGGACAGATTTCAGGTCTTTTGTCACCCACTCCAGTGCCCACTCTGCTGGTCTACACTGCTTCTCTGATGGGATAGTCCTTAACGTAGCAGTATTTCACTCTATCTGCTCTTGGAGCTATATGTGTATAATAGATATTTCTGATTGGTTTAGCCTGTATTTTCCTCCTGCTCATTTACCCTTGTGAAAAATATCCTCAGAAAAAATGATGACAGAATATGCTGTTGCTTAATGCGTGTAATCCTATCTGTCCCTAATGGCCGGGCCCAAAGATTATAACAACCTACTACTCATGCACAGCAAAAGGAGTTCTCCTTTAGCTTATGTGATAGAGGCCTGCATTTGAGATCTCAGGTTCAAACCCCATTGATGATTGTGGCAGGTATGTATGCAGCCACAGGCTTGTAAACTGAGTACTTGAAATGCACTCTCATGGGAACTGTCTTGCCTTGAGGAAATTCTTGTTACCTGCACAGACTGTTGACTGCATGCTTAGCCTGGTTCCTAGCATCGTTTTGATCTTCCCCTCCTGCCACATAGAGGAACCCATCCATCACAATGACACACTGGTTGAAACTTTTTGCTGGCATCTCAGCCATCTTGTTCCAGTTTCCATCCGGGTCCCTGTAGCTAATCTCTCTGCTAAGAGCTTTCTCGGTCAAAGCTGGACGGCCACCAACTGTGACTAGCACCCTTTGGCCTCCACGGATTTTGGTTCTTCTGGACTGAAGGGTATTTTGCTGGTAAGGGAGCAGATGGTAATTCATAGCCTCCACCAGCAGCCTGTGGCACTCAGGATCTTGCATCATCCGTGGTACTGGTTGCACATGGTTGACCAAATCGGGAGCTGATATGGTGCCAAATCTAATGTTGCTCAGGAGGTTGGCAGCATATGTGACTCGCTTAGGGTCAAACTCGAGCCATTTCATGGCAATCTGGAAGGCAATGACCTCATTTGGGATCTGCAGACCATCATCAATCAGCAGCTCCTTCAGCTGGTCAAAGGTGAGTTTCATGAACTGCTCAGTCTCCGAGAACTCCAGGAAGTTTTCCTGGATGAACTTTCGAGTGGCGTCCTTGGTCTGGTTGAGGTTGTACGTCTCCGAGATGTTGGCGATATACATGCAGTTCTCTACATTTATCTCCTGAATGAGGAAGTCACTGCACATGTTGAGCAAAGCATGTATTTGTAGGCGGCTGGCGGTTGAGATGGTGCTGCCAATGGTGTACAGGGAGAGATTCAGCTTACCGGTGTAGGCGTAAGTGATAACGGTGGTCAAGCCCAGAGGGGAGACATCGTTGAGTTCTACTTGTGGCAAGTTGGGATCTCTCTTCAGCAGGCTGTGGAAATACTCACTGCATGAAGCCATGACGAGCTTATGGACATCGAAGGACTTGGTTTTGGTGGCAATGGTGAGGTCACAGAGGAACTGCTTTTGTTGCATTTGACTCATCTCCTCCAGGAGGCTGCCTCCATGGTTGGGGTTCCTGACCTCTGTGGCAGTGCAGCGGAAACCATTGGAGACATTTTCATACAGACCGTTCACGTGGTTGAGGTGATCGATATCCAGCAAAGTGTCCTCCACCATCACATGGGCCGGGGGATCCTCGCCCTTGTCCACTTTGTTCTTCTTGGGATTTTTCTTCTTGGGTGCCATCTCAGTGGAGGTTGGCGTCAGATGGTGATCTACAGAGACAGGAAAAGTTAGAAGACACTGTAGCAAGAGGTACTGTAGATGTCTTGCTATGTAAGACATATCGCTAAGCAATTGCTATACTACAGGAGTAGGCAAAGGGTGGAGCTGGTTAGAAATTTTTGTCAGAACAATTTTCCATCCGAAAATTCCATTTTGGTG